ATACCCGTTTGAGTGGAAGCACAACCAACAAGCATGCATTTTTTTGCTCTGGGTTCAAGTTTCCCTCGATTATGACTATGAATGTGAATAAATACAGTACACTCAAATATCTTTAATGTTAAAAAAAGAATAATCAATTTGTTGGATAATCTATGAAAAATATCAATAGGTGTTTAAAAGTTCAAAACATTATTAGGTGTTCTATGTACGAGGAATATAACAATAAAAATGACTTCACCCCAAAAATATTTGAGTACCTGATTGATAAAAAAATGCCTGAGTTACTTCTAATAAGTATTTGTTTTTTCTTTTAGTCAAATTATTTTATTGTCGAGCGTCGATATAAGAAATTTAATGAACTATTCATCTTTTGAGAAAAATTGACCTAAAAGAATTTTAAAAATACTTTCAGCCAATATCACTCTAAAATATATGAATAGATTTTTGAAATTGTGTTTGGACCATGGTGTAAAATTTTATAAAATTTTTTTCAACTTCAAATCTTTTTCAACATCAAAATTTTTCATTAAATAAACTCAACATAACCTTGTGTGATCGACAATAAATGTCACAAATTATTTTTACAAGAATATACAGATGTTCTACAAGGAACATAGATATCACCATGAATCAGAGTAAATATTATAGTTGGTTTATAATATTAGCGGGAAAAAGACACAATTTTAGCAAACTGACAAAATTCATATCGAATAAAAGACAAATTTTTATTCTAAAATAAATTAGAAAATAAGAATTCTAAATCCTAAAAAACTAGGATGATCTAACCTACAATGTCGTAACATAATATCATTTTCTTTAGAGACATAAAATTTAAAAAAGTACTATGTTGTCAACTTGAGTCAAGCCCATCGGCAAAATAATGAATCAACCTTTTTTTAACATTACCAATCATCCTTAAAGTGATAAATTTCTAAAAATCATAAGAAAAGTAGAAATTAGCATTATATTGATGGTCAAAGGTGGTTTTATTAATGAACAATAAGTTACAAGACGATTGAGAGCATGGAGCACATCGTGAAGTGTTAAGAATAAAGTTAGTTTGCAGTTTCAATCCTGGCAATTACTGAGAGTGAATCAACTGTAATTTTGACATTTTTATTGTCTGCACAAAATCTATAGGATATCAATAATTTAAAACCAACCATATGATCAACTGCGCCAAAATCAACTATCCGTGAATAACAGAATTAGGAATAACACCCAAAAGCACATTGGCTAGAGAATTGCCCTTCTGTTCTAATGAGTGAGACAAATTTAGACAATTAGGTGAAGTGCTCTAATTGCTCCTTGGTGAAAGGAGCTGCACCCAAGTTGGTAGAAGGCTCTGAGTCTCTTCGGTAGTGGTTTGATAAGTTTGATCATCACGTTTGGATTTTAGTATCTAATTTGTAGGTTTATCATGAAGCTTCAAACATGTCTCATTTGTATGTTAGGGTTTTTTGCAATGGTCGCACCACAGTTTCTAACACCCCTCTTTGTTAGTATCAACACCTCTTAACACAAGGCCGAGTTCTCATGCCCAATGTTAAAAAGAGGTTCGATATTGCGCAACATTTTTTTTCTTTTTGACTCCTCGCGTCTAACATGAGAAAAACTTCCCAAATAGAATGTAGTGGTCTCCTACAAAGAAAAAGCCATCGGACTTCATCTATACTCGAATTAAGGCCAGCTAAAAATATGTGAATTAGTTCATGTTTATCTCTTCCTATGGTGAACATAGTCGTTTAAAATCTCTCAAAAATCATCATAATATTGATCAAGCTCTTGTCATAATATTACCAAATCATTATAATAGGTAATAACATCACAATCATTCTGCTTAGATTACCAAAGTTGAGTTTTTAACTCAAATATTTGAGAATAATTCTCTGGGTCTAAATAAAGATTTCAAACAGCCTCCTAAACATCTTAAGAAGAGAGAAAAAATAAGTGGGATTTTTATAATGACAAATTCCGTGAAGTTGATGAGCCAGCAATAATAAGAGAGTTTTTTAGATTGTCATTTTTCATATTAAGGTCATCAACAAAATGTTTAAAAATGTCATCAATTAAATGTCCAATTTTGTCTCTCCCATTGATTACCAATTTTATGGATTGGGACCACTCGAGATAGTTTTGCTCATTGAGTTTTGTTACTGTGGAGTGTGGGGTAAAGGGCTAAATTTTAGGAATAATAATAAGTAGGTATTGACATAAGAAGAGTTTTAGGGTGGAACGAAGTGATTTTGAAATTACAGGAACGAGTAAAGAAGTAGAATTTTTTTAGTGACGATCATCGTCGACTTATACAGCAGCATCATAAGAGAGAAGAAAAGAAAAAAGCACAAGGTTCTGCTATCATATAGAAAAAATAATGAAAAAAACTCTCAGCACTCTTCACTTTTCATTGTATAAGATACACACACACACACACACCCACACCTCCCATAGGCATTATAAAATAGGAATAAAATTAAAAAGGGGAAAAATAAGGGTCGGGGATCCTATAGGAGAGCACACAGAATGAAATCTAGCAGTACAAAGCATTGATCCATGTGTCTTTAGATCTTTGATATGATTGGAGTAGCATAATTTCAACATCTATCAACCTAGAAAAACTATAAAAAAATTGTTGATCTGCTATTAGGCCCAGTGTATTTGTAAAATTATTTGCACAACATATGCATGATCTGCATGTGATATTCACAAAATAAAAATAAAAAAAACTGGCTACTAACTATGAAAAATTTTGGTGATGAAAACAAGAGGTATTATGGATTTTAAGCCAAATGATAATGGCATGGTGCATCTAAATCCAGATAAATTTGTACTTAGGGTTTTTTAAAGTGAATGCAAGGAAGGCAGAACCATTTAAAATTATGCAGTGCATCAAAACTACTGCCCATAAATTGAAAACTTTTGCATAATCAAATTTTCAATATAACTAATTTGATCATATTTCACAAATTTATTATTAGCTCATTGTATTCCTTTAAAATTTTTAAAACACTTCTAATCACGACCAAGCTATCTTAGATGTGACAATGTGTTCAGTCCAAAAGTTGTATTTCAAAGACATCCTGTGTACTAGAAAGAAACATGCTTGGAAAGATAGTCATAGAATTCATACCCAAAATTGCATATAGAGCATAAAATGTTAAATTAATTGGAGCCAAACTTGTCAAAGTCAAGCAACTTCAATATGATCTTCGCATTTATTCTCATCCGATACGAAAAATCAAGTATTATTTTTCTTTTCCATTTATGCATGTTCTTTCAATAAGTTGGCTAAATTTATTTAAGGACATGATAGTGACGATGGCCGGGAAAGATTATATTTCATTTTCTAGCTTCAGCACAGTTCATTTGGCTGGCATAGTTTAAATTTTAATTTAGTTTACATTACTTTCCACAAAAGAATGTGTGGGTTGTTCAATTAATTTGAGTCAACATTTTTTCTAGCCAGGCATTTGTCATCACCTGAAATATTAAAGAGGTGAAGTATAGAACTACTCGGGGAAAAAAAAAAAGATGAATTACAGTATCCTTCGAGTGGTGGGCCGGTGGCATGAGATTTGTTGGTTATCATGGTTTTGAATACTTTAGCAATTATTGTAGAGTCATCTATTAGTTGGGCTAAGAAAATATAAACCAAATTGGAAATATTTTTCAAGAAAAACTAATTAAATTTTTTATAACTTCCATCTTGATTTTTTTTTGCCATCTAATGAGTACAAAATGGATGTACAATAAAAATGCAACTATTCGATTCTAGTTGAATTCATTCCTTTGAATGGTTATAAGGTTTGATTTTTTTACTTCAGTAAATATTTTCCTTAAACTCTTTCATATACACAATTTGTTAATGGCTTGTTTAAAAATATGTTTTACGAAAATTAATTAAATTTGCTCCATGATGTTTTTGCATTTGTTGAAATTTTCAAATATTTTCGATCAATTCTTAGTCAATTAGTCCTAAATTATTATATCATCTGTTTTTGTTTAATGAAAATCAGTTGTTGAATTAATCAAAAACTTGTGATATGTGAATCTTTAAATTTTCACATCATATAATTACATTGAGAAATCTTAACTCTGAATCATCATGCATCAAAATTATAAAACAAAGGTGATGTGACACCCATTGTAAATACAATGGGCGAATGTAATTCTAAGCATACAAAGCAGAGGAGACCGTAGAGGTTAAGAGATACAGAATGATGTGAAATTATTACAAATAAAAAGTAAGTAGAAGATAGCTAATATATTTTTATAAATGATGCAAAATAGTGAAAACACATTATATAACGCTCAAGTGAAATACAGAGCTCGGGATTCATAAGGCCAACCACAAAATTTTAGAAAAAAGCTGATTGAATGACATGCTTTTTGTGATACATTCATCACCATAAACATAAACACAATTTGATGATATCAAATATCTAAAGAACTAAGATAGCATTAAGTGTTGCACCATTTACATTTCTAAAGTAGATTTCCATGGAATTTTCAAAATATTGCTGCCAAGTGGCTTTAAGCACTTCAATCTTATTATCTCCATCATTGTAAATACCTCATCTCTAAGTTTGGTTTTATGAATATTTCTTCACATTTATTCCTATTAGGAGCAACATATATGGAAGTCTAGTTAACACATTTTTTTTTTAAATCTGCACATTATTCTGAGAAAGGCAATACAGGACATGCAAAAAATTATGTACGACATTTCACAAAAGAGAAAAACTGTGAACAGTAAAGTTCATACAAGTCATATATAAGCTTTTATGGGAGGGAAAAAGTGGTCATCTATCCAAATTTGTGTCTACAATATATATATTGATCAACAAACGAACAGCACAGGACAGTGGCATGCTAATTACTATAATATGGATAAGGCAAACTCTGGCTCAAGATGCTGGACTAGCAATAATAACAGAATTGATAAAATACTTCTGACTACTTTCAAATTTTAGTGAAGGATGTGTTGAGAGAAAACTAACTTTGATATAATCTATTCCACATCCTATCTTCTTTTCGCTCTCTGGATGATAAAGTAACAACTTTTCAACAATAGTTTTCTCATGATCTGCACTTAGCCGGTCATCAATCTCATACCTGCGCAAGCAGCATTCATGATTGAATCAACATTGTAGAAGCATAAATTTTCATAATTGAGTTATTATATATTTCAAGGAAAAGAAAAAAAATTAATTTCTGCTTTATAAAACCAAAGTTTATAGTTGAAATTTTACTTGGAAGAAAAGAAAAGTAAATAAAAAAGCTAGGGAAAGTCATCGAGTGCAAGCAGAAAATTGAATGAGATTGGCCTTAGACAAAAATAAGAGTGCCAAAAAGGAAATGCCAATAAGTTGGGAGGTTATAAGCAATGCAAATATGTGAGGAAGACAAAGGAGTAGGACAAGTCTGCCGTTTATATTTTTGCATTTTTTAAGGTTATTTATATTTAAAGCAAATCAAGATCAAAACAAAAACACAATTCAAAATAGCACTGGAGTAAGCAATTGTTTTTGCAAATTATTATGATTAGTAGGAATATTTCACAAACGTGAATAATAATCTCCGTAGGGCTGTGATTAGCTCGAAGACCGTCGATCGCTCTAAAATCAAATCAAATTTTAGATCGGATTGAAATCAACTCGAAACAATCAAGCTGAGCCAAGAGCCAAATCTAAAAATCGAATATTTCTTGATCTAATTTCGATCAAACATCGTATCAGATTGATCTGGCTCGCAATCGGATCGATTTATTTATTTATTTACTTCCTATGCAATGGTGATCTGGCTCGAATATTTCTTGATCTAATTTCGATCAAACATCGTATCAGATTGATCATTTAATGATATCGGAGTTATCCCAAACCACAACAACAACAAACCTCAAACCACAATAAGGAAAAAAACATTAGTATTGAAAGGTTAATAGACACATAGATGCAACCCTGGGTGGATCTCATGGTGGTGGTGGTTGCGTTAGGGGCATGAGATGGTGGAGGCAAGGTCGGGAAGGTGCAAGGCTATGAAGAAATAGTGGCAAGGTAGTGTCAGTCAGATTGCTGTCCTGAGCCGTAGCAAGCAGGGAATTTCTATAACCAGTGGTAATCAGCAAGAATCGGCTGTCCCAAGGGACTGGTGTGAGGGAGGACAGCAGCAAGTCAGGAATAAGAAAAGGTAGCTGGGAGGGTTTAATACTGCAGGAAAACAGGGATTTCCAGCAATTTCAGGTGACGACAGTGAAGGAAGTCAAACGATCGGGAAGGTTGGGGAATGGTGGAGGGAAGTTATGGTGGGCGGCAACAAACCTGGGAGGGAAGGGAAGTGGCTGAAATGGTGACACTGCAGAAAACAACAGTAAAAGCTGTTGTTCCGGTAGCTGCAACAGGGAAGGGACGGTCGAGAGCGATGTGGAAGGATGTAAAAGGGGGAAAGAGAAAGATAATCACCACATTGGGAGAGAAATACAGCCGGAGCACCACCGAATCCCTCGGATACAGCCCTCGAAGAGAGAAAACTACGTCGGCGGCTGTCCTAAACAAATTCACGCCAAAAACTAACTTTAAAACATCAGAAATACATATATAATAATAGGATAGCAAGGAGTAGCCCGGGAGTGCCAACCTAATCCACAACAGCAAAAAAAAAAACCTAAACCAGTTCGATCCAAGAGTGGAAAGAACAGTTGCATGATCGCAGGACTGTAGCAGTTCGCGGATGGGCAGGGGTCCTGTAGCAATGTTCGCAGAGGGGAGCTCCTGCGTCAATTAATGATGTTGGGTATTTGTGACATATATTTAGGTCTTGCATTTAGCACGCTTCTTCCGTATCCTTTTTATGTATTCTCAGTTTTGGCCTTCGATCTTCAAATTTACAATGTTTATTTGTTGTAAACCTGCATTTAGGTGTTACTGACAAATTTGAGCTGCTAGTATTCAATTCAAGCCGGCTCAAGTTCGATCCATTTCCATCCGAGTGGCTTGAAATCAACTAATTAGAGCTAGGATCCGTATAAATCAAACCACATATGGATCAGCTCGAAATTGGAACAAACACAGCCCTAATTTTCAGGTGTTGAGAAATTAGGGCGAAGAAAAACAAGAATCGACACAAATCCAGAAGAACACAGAGATTTAACGAGGTTCGGCAAATATTTCTACGTCCTCGGGAGCAGAGCGGCAAATTTCACTATTTTAGAGGAGTCCAATACATACTCATAGGGTTACACATCATATATATATATATAGATAAAACTAAGATAAAATTACTAAGACACCCTCGCTCCCCCCAACCAACTAAATTCCAAAAGACACCTCTTAAATTCCAAGAGATATTTCTCTTCATTCCAGGAGACACACCTCTTCAATTCCAAGAGACTCTAAATTCTGTCATATGAGTCATACCTAATAAATCTCCACATTGGTGAATATCTAGTCCCTTAAGAGAAATACATATACCTAACAAATCTCCACCTTAGCGAATATCTAACCCCTTAAGAGAAATACATCATGGAATTTCTTACATCGAAGTGGGTTGGACAACCATATCGTCTAACAAGTTCAAGCAATGCAATAACTTGTTCATAGTATCTGGCTTGGTCAACATTGTTGGTCAACTTTTTTTCGATTGATTAATTATGAAAATATGGTATATGAAAATAATTTTTGAGATTTAATTTAAGTATAAAAGATATATAGTTTGAGTTTTAAAAGTAGTATGTTTTAATTTTTGAAAAATGAGACCAAATGGATCTCATTAGTCTGATAGTTTGCAAAATCGTGCCTGATACCGCAAATACTACACCTTCCCGAGAGATAAGTGTAGACCTCAGCGATAGACCCAATCCTGCAAACTAAGAGATTTGTGACATCCGTTTGGTCTGCGAACCTTTTATATATGACCGACAAATTCCCCTATTTAATACAAAGATTAAATAGGATTTATTTTACCTGGGTTCCAAGTTCCCTATAGAGGCAAGCCCCTATAGTTAATTACATCCCAAATGACGGGAGTCACTTGAGAAAACTCTCGATAATGATCAATGGTTCTAGTCTTCAAGAATTCAAGGTTCAGGTTTTCAAGGTAGGATTAGGAAAACCAAATGGGAATGGCTCAATGAGGAACACTTATTTTTTTTTTTA